GGGAAAGGACAGTCTTTTTAATAAATGATACTGGGAAAATAGAATGGCCATATGCCAAAGAATAAAACTAGACCCCTATCTTTTACCATATACAAAAATTAATTCAAAATGCATTAAAGACTTTTACGTAAGACTTGAAACCAAGAAATTAGTAGAAGAAAACATTGAGAAAATGCTACAAAATATTGGCATAGGCAAATATTTTTAAAAGAAGACCTCAAAAGCACAGGCAACTCCAGTAAAAATACACAAAAGGAGATTATACAAAGCTAAAAGTCTTCTTAATAGGAAAGGAAACATTTAACAGAATAAAGAGGCAACCTGTGAAATGGGAGGCAATATTTGCAAGTTATACATACAATGAAGAATATATAAGGGATAACTAGAATATGTCAGACTACAAATAGCAAAAAAAAACAAAAACAAATAATTTGACTTAAAAATTGGGCAGTAGAAGTGAACAGTCAGTTCTCAAAAGAAGAAATGTAAATGTCCAACTAGCATATGAAAAAAATCCTAATATCAGGAAACGTTAAGAGAATGTATATCAAAATCACAATAAAGTTTTGGCTCACTCAAGTTATAGTGGCTATTACAACAGCAACAAAACCCAGAACACAAGGAATGAAATGTATTGGCATAGTTGTGGAGAAAAGGGAAGCCTAGTTCATTGTTTGTGGGGATGTAAATTAATATAGCCATTATTAAAAACAGTATAAAAGTTCCTCAAAAACCTAAAACAAAAATGATTCTATGACCTAGTAATCCCATTAGTGGTTATATTCCCAAAGGAAAAGAAATTATTATGACAAAGAGATATCTTCATGCTTATGTTTATTGAAACATTATTTACAATTACTAAGACAAAGAATCAACCTAAATGCACAACAACTGGTGAATGGATAAAGAAAAATGTGGTCTACATACACCATGTTATATTATTCAGCCACTAAACAAAATGTAATCCAGTCATTTGACGTAACATGGGTGAACCTGAAGGAAATAATGCTAAATGAAATATGCCAGGTAATGAAGGATAAAGACCATCTGTTCTCACTTTAAGGAAGCTAGAGGATTTAATTGTATGGAGGTGGACCATGTGGTGGTAGATACTACAGGTTGGAGGTGGGTGGGAGAGAGGAAGGGGACAACATGGTTTAGGGATACAAGAGTATGGGTGGATGAGTGGCTGAATTTTGTAGTGCTATAGCACAAATAAGATGGTTGGTGACAATTTAATGTATACTTCAAGGCAGAAGAGTGGATTTCAAAATATAAATTAGAAAATACAATCAAAAAAGAAAGAAAAAAATGCCATTTGGACACGAAGAACTTTAACATGTATAATCTCTATAATACACTTTCCTTATAGAATGTGCCTATTTCCTATGGATTCAGAATTTATAGTTGCTTTTGACTCTTAACTATTTATCATTAGCTCTGACTATGAGGAACAGTCATACACTCGAGTTCTCCCTTTTTTGCTTTCTGAATGACACTGGTCATTTACAACAGTAACCTTGTCCCATTCATCTATTACCTGAATCCATGGCCATCTGTCATTTTCTGCAGCTGTCCAGGCATTTATAAGCCCCTTCTTATTTAGTCGTGCATAGTAGGGATACCATTTTTGGAGTCCGAAGAGAGCTCGGTGGGTAGAGGAAGCTGTGATTTGCTGATTTGAAATGATCCCACCTTCAATTCCTAATGGACCCGAGCATTCTGGGAACAAATCAGGGGAAAAAAAGTGTCAATGTATTTGAAATAATACATATGAAAATTGTAGCTGTTAGATTTGATGGAGGATTATTTCTTACATGATTTTAATTTGTACCACCATACTACTTAAGCCTCTTCCAACTTCCAGATCTGTTACTCATTGCTATATTAAAATAATTCTTGCTCCTCATGACACCTTTCTTCTTTGCTTTGAGGGTGGCTCCCCGACAGACACTCCCCTTCTTGTTACAATTCTGCCTTATGTTGTTATCTGTTAGTTGCTGATCATTTCAACACAAGCATAATGCTTTTTAAAGGCTTAGATCCTATTTTATATTCCAAGTAATCAACATGCTTCCTGAATTACAAGCTATCAACAAATATTAATTGATCCATTAGTTCTTGACTAGTAAATATATCAGAGTTTTGTATCAAAATCATTTTTATACTTAGCATTTCTCACTACTGTAAACTTTCAAAGTTAAATTTTTATAACCATTATCAGTTAGGCTTCCACAAATATAGCAAAGTGTAAGTCTGTCAATATTTAAAAAAACAACTATTTAATAATCTGTGATACATTGTAAATTATAGAAAATATGTAGACAATTATTTTAGAAAAAAATGGTAAACATTTTGACAATATTTTTAAGACAGTATGTGTAGTAATCATAATAAATCATAATATTAAACTATGAATGATCTTCAAAAGTTAATGGAAAATGTAAATTGTAAAAAAGTCACGTAAGCATTTAAAATTTTTTTTGCATCAAAATAAACTCATACCAGGCCATCAGGTTGCAAGGAGGGTAAGGAAGCTAGATCCCACAGGGCTGACTTTGTGGTTCAAATCCTGGACCCAGAGGCTTGGAAATAATGCCAGGTTATGTGCATGTGTACCCAATATCCCAAGAGGAGAATGGAGGAAATGGGATTGCAGCATGTCCAACAGCCCTGAGAGAGAGGGATGATGGGATGATTTCTCATTTTATCTTTCTCTGTCTCTCCACCTGGCAAGGGCTTATGTCTTATAGTAAAATAATGTAAAAAACAAAAGTACAAAAAAAATAAAATTCATACTTTAATTCCATTTTTCCATGAAATTGTTGAAGACCCCTCATATTTATCTCTCTAATATTCTTAGCTCAAAAATTCATAACTCTACATATTGAAATTCTACACTTATCACTTAGAGTTTACCTTTTATTTTTATTTATTTATTTTTTTAAATTTTTATTTATATTTTTTAATACATTCAATTACATTATTTAGCTTACAAGGTGATCATTTCAATATATGAACATTTCTCCCTGTCTAGTTGATCAAAATATAGCAACACTACCTCCCTGTCTCAACAATGCTGTCTTCGTATCCCTCCTCCAAATGTGCTTCCCCAGGTCCCACTCCTCCACACACCCCACATCTGGCATTCACATCTACCTCTTCTGTTTGTACATCCTTTAGCCCATCAGTTTCAGTTATAGAGTGCGGACATTCGGTATATATTAAGTGGGGACATACAGTGTCTCTCCTTCATAGCCTGACTTGCTTCACTCAGCAGTAAATTTTCCACGTTCTTCCACTTTCTGTCAAAAGTCAGGATTTTGTTGTTCTTAATGGCTGAATAGTATTCTATAGAGTATATGTGCCACAGTTTTTCAATCCATTCATCCATACGGGGGCATTTGGGTTGATTCCATGTCTTAGCAATCATGAAAAGTGCTGCAATAAACATCGATGTGCAAGCACTTTTCCAATGAGAAATTCTTCTGTCCTTTGGGTAGATGCCAAGAAATGGGATTGCTGGATCATATGGCAGTTCTATTTGTAAATTTTTGAGGAATCTCCAAATTGTTCTCCACAGTGGTTGGACTAATTTACATTCCCACCAGCAATGTAAGAGAGTTCCCCTTTCACCACATCCCGCCAACACTTAATCCTTTTTTTTAATCTTAGCCATTCTGACTGGGGTTAGGTGGTATCTCATTGTT